GAAGAGTGATAATAATACTGTGGGTGAGGGGGATGGGATGAGTGTGATGACACCGGCGCAGTCGGGTACGGGGAGTTCACCTGCTCCTACTCCTGCTCCTGTTGCTGCGAGTGTTAGTGTTCCTGCGGCTGCTTCTACATCCTCTCCTGCTCCAGCGCCTGCTCCTTCAACGCCAGCTGCTTCGACTGTTGCTGTTGCGTCTTGAATTTCTTTCTTTTTTTTTTTCGATTTTCTGGCTTCTACTTCCTCGTACTTTTTCTGTGTGAGTTCTTTTCGCACTTGGCTCTGTATCATACCATATTTGTCGTATTTTTTGTTTGAAGAGGAGGAGGAGGGGTGGACTTCTTTTTCGGTTTCTTCTCTTTTTAATGGCGTTTACTAAACCAGAAACCAAAAAAACGAGGGTTTCTTTCACGCTCCTTGTGGGGGATTGAGATGTATTGAGTATTATATTAAGGCTTGGGAAATGGGGGAGTTGAGAAACCGAAACTGGAACTGGAATTGAACTGGCTGGCTCCCTTTTGGGAGGAAGATAGAAGAGAGGAGAGTGTGTGGTTTCTTTATTCATTCAGGGGAGAGGAAGAGAGGGGAAGAGAAAGAAAGAGAGGGAAGGGATGATGAAAAAGTTACTATACACATTTCTTATACTCTTCATGTTTTTGTTGTGTGCGTGTGGAAGGGTCCAGGAAGAGAGAGGGACAACATAAATGTGTCCAGTCTTGTCTTGATTAATAGATTACTTGCATACAATATGCATACAATATGCCACTCCACTTCTTTACAAAGAAGTGGGACCAGGATTTATATTTGTTTGTCTGTTGATGATGCTGCGGTTGAGTAGAAAGGATCTATCTTCTTTTCTTGTCTGATGCTGTGGAATGAGATGGAAAAATTGATTGTCATTGTGACAATCGCTAGATATTGTGGATTACCTGTATGATGTAGCTTGCCATTAACTCTTGAATATTAAATATGTGTTAGGGATTAATAGAGCTGCATGAAAGTTAGCCGACTGTCCCGACAACAGATGATTTAAAGATATGCAGTAGCACACGCACACACACACACACACACACACACACACACACACACAGCCGACTGAGTGATTATGTATGTAAAAGAGAACTGCTATACCTTCTCAATTTCAAAGTGTAGAGGACGGTTACTCTAGTTATATGTTTGGATATCCCCTCCAGGTCCCCCCGCACATCCAGGAGATGGAGATAGTTATTTTGCTTATAAAGTCAAATCCGGTAGTTATACAACACTAATATCTAATCTGCATGACTGCAGCCCCACGAGTAATAGAGAATAGCCAGGAGGAGAAAAGAGTATTCTATACTGTAAGAGACTTGTCATCCTCCACCCGTATAATCAGGAGGGTAGGGTAGCGTAGTTAATTGTTTCGAACCGCCTCAGCACCTCAGCACCTCAGCACCTCGCCGTTTTACTCCCTGTGTCAACGGCGTTGATATAATAGAACCCATGAACACAGCCAGCGCCAGCTGAACTGATCGTGTGTTAGTGTCACGTCCACCCCATCCTCTCCTCCGTGTGTAGTTTAGCGATAATTTGGCCTTGATTTGAGTTCCGTCGTGCCGTCATCCCCTAATCCAATCCAGCCTCTTTCGTCGACCTCCGCATCCAACCCCAAAACACTTCCCTTGTCCTTTTACCTCGCCCTTTTCCAGTTTTTTCAAATAATATATATATATATATATATATATATATATATTTCAATTTTTTCAGCATTTTTTTTAATATATATATATATATATATATATTCATTCCTTTCTCTCCTTTTCTCATACTATGACGAATGTGCCCCCTCCCCAAGGCTCCGGCAGCGGAATTCCCCCAACCTTCTTGTCTATGCCTCGCCGTTCCTCCTATGCCTCTGTGGTGTCCGGCAACGCTGCCGTAGCCAACTCAACCTCACCCACTGCCACCACCAATCCCACCACTTCCTCCATAACCACCAACTTCGAATTCCAATACGACCCCGACAACGACTCTCCCTCATCCACTGCCTCTGCCTCTGCCAGACTACATCTACAGCTCCAACGACAACGACAAGCATTCCTCCAACAAAATCCCGGGGCAACTTGGTCTGGTCCACCGATCCCTTACATATTCACCTCCGCCGCCACACCCAGCAACTCCTACCCCCCGCACTACATCCCCACGGACTCTAGAGCCCATAGCACCAGCAGACATCCCTGGCTGGATAATAGCAATACTAATAGAAACACCAACGCCACCTTCAGTGCCAGTACCAACGAAATGCAGACGAACGGCGGTGGCGGAGGGGCTGCTGCAGCTGGCCTAGTTGGGAGCGGATGGAGGAGACCTCTCCCTCCCACCACAACTATCTCAACTACCACAAATCCCTCCTCCACCCTGCCCCTCTACTCTCGACAGTTTGCCAGATCCCCTGAATACTCCTCCTCCTACTCTCCTTACCCAGGCTACGTGCATAGCTCTGCCTCCACGGGAACAAGCTTCTTTACCCCATCCTACCTCAGGAACTCGAAATATATCGCCCAGCTCGCCGCAGCTCATAGATCCCACGCCCTCAACACTACATCCTCCTCCTCTTCCTCAGCAGCAGCTACAGCAGGCACGTCAGGAACGTCCTCAAGCCAGAAGGACCCCTCACAACCCCATCCATCCTCAACCTCCACAAATACGAATCCCAACACCAACACCACAAACCAAAATACAACCAGCACATCCTCCGCTGCTGCCGGTGTCAGTGGCGCTGGTGGTGGCTCAGGCAGCGGCGTCCCCACTCCCCTCTCCTCCAGCTCAAGCAATGCAAACCTCCACCGCCTCGCCCCCTCCCACCGTGGCATGACCCACGAAATCATTGAGCACCCCCCTCCATCCACAGACGACGACAGCCCCATCATGCCACTGCCATCCTGCTGGAGCGACCAGAACAAAAACTCAGGCCTCGACCTGCTTAATGAGGGACTCGAGGTGCGTTATCTGGGCAACCCGTTCAAGCACGAGCATGAGGCTGCATCCTGTCGAGCGAATCATCCCATGCCTCCGCAGTGTGGCATATATTACTTTGAGGTGACGGTTTTGTCGAAGCCGAAGGAGGGGTAGGTTGTTATTTCCTTTCTACTATCTCTCTTAAAGCTTTGGTCATGTACCATGCAATGATGTATTGGGGCAAGTGAATCTTCATTATCTAACTTTTGCTAGGATGATCTGCGTGGGATTCACGAGCAATAAAGCTTCCCTCGAACGACTACCGGGCTGGGAGCAGGAGTCTTGGGCATACCATGGTGACGATGGGAGGACGTTCTTCGGCGAGTCTCAGGGCCAGGGCAAAGTGTATGGCCCCAAGTATTCGGTTAATGACATCATTGGGTGTGGTGTGAATTTCTCCACGAGTAGTGCGTTCTTTACGAAGAATGGAGTTTATCTTGGTATGGTTGAGTTTTATTTATACTTCTCTCTATATAGTAACATATAGACATACATGTTTTTGTGGTTGTGGAAGTTGCTAACTGTTCACCTCTTATGTTCAATCAGGGAATGCATTCCGCGAACTGCCAAATATAAAGCTTTATCCCGCCATTGGCGTGAAAAAGCAGCCTGCCTCGCACATCAGAGCCAACTTTGGCCAGTTTCCATTTATATTTGATATCGATGGGATGATGAAGGTATGTTTATCAATTCTTTACTTTTTTATTATCTGCATTTAGTTTATGCTGACAACCACGCTTTTTATAACATCTTCAGAAAGAGAAACTTAGCATTCAAGCAGATATAAATGCTACTAGTATTTCTAATTTGCACCCTTCACTTGATGAAACCACATTTATCCAGGAGCTTGTAGCTCAATTTCTGGCACATGGCGGCTATGTCGAGACCGCCCGTGCTTTTGCAAAAGAGGTTCGAGAGGAGTCTCGGGCGCTGCAGAGTGGGAGGGAGACGCCATTGAAGGATTTTCATGCCGATGAGGATATGGATGCTATCAATCGACAGAGTAAGGTTTTCTCCGTATCAGCGGTCTATCATGTACCCTTTTCCCTCAGAAGAAATTGAAAGGAAATGAAAATTATAGATATGCTCTGTAGCTAACACATTGCGAAAAAAAAGAAATCCGCTCCGCCATCCTCGAAGGAGACATCGACAAAGCTCTTAAACTCACCAATACCTCCTACGACAATGTCCTTCACGACAACCCCCAGATCTTCTTCCGCCTTCGCTGCAGGAAATTTATAGAGATGATGCGTCGCTGTACAGAACCGCAGCAACCCTCTCCATCTTCAAAGCAACCGGCCAGTTCGTCGAATGGCGCTACCACTTTTGGGATACATGTGCACGATACGGCTGA